ATCTATTTTCACTAAAGATAAAAGAGGAGAGTGAAATATAATAATCACTACAAGAATTTACACATTTTGCGACCACTTTTGCCGACCAAAAAAATTTTGGTAGCAAAAAAATGACATTTGGCGACCAAATATTAATTAGTCGCGAATGATCATTATTTTTGGTGACCAAATGTTATTGGTCGCAGAAGGTTATATTTTGGCGACCAAAAAATATGTTGGTCGCAGAAAGTGGTATACTTTTGCCGACCAACTACAAATTTGGTCGCGGAAGGTCACACATTTTTTGGCGACCAAAAATTTGGTTGCGAAAAACTTATTTTCAGCAACCAAAAAAAATTAGTCGCCAAATTAGTACTTTTTGCGACTAATATTTTAGTCGCCGTTGATTGAGATTTGGCGACTAAAAATTTTTGTCGGTGAAAGAACCTGTTTTTGCAACTAATTTGATCTTTTGGTTGCAGAAAGTTTGGGGGGAAATTTGATTTTTATAGAGGCAGGAATTGAAAATTTGTGGCGACAAAAACATTTGGTCGCCATTTTTAAAACAAAAACCATTTGTACCACGCATTCACCTTCACATGCTCTCTCTCTCTCTCTCTCATTTCCTTTTGTTTGCATCGCTCTCCTACTACTGATTACCCCAACCCACTCCATCCACCAGCTCCAGCTATGAAAAAGCATATACATACACTTTCAAAACCCATATCATAAATTTCTAGGGTTTGAATTTTCAAATGCAAATCCATTCTTCTTCTTCTTCATAGATCAGAGAGAGAGAGTGTGTGTGATAAATTGAAATTGATAATGCCAAGGCAGAATCGGCTTGTGGAGGGTTTGATTCCCGAATCCTGCAAGATCCGAAAGAGGGGTTGCTCTTTGTCTTCGTCTTCGTCTTTGTCCTCTGTGTTGCAGAATTACCGATTCAAGCGGGCCATTTTGGTGGGTAAGCCTCGAGGATCCAAATCGAGCACTCCGAGGTGGGTTTCTTTTTGGTGGGTTTCTTCGTCCTCTGTCTTATCCATCTCACAGTCCTGTTTCAGAGGTGGGTTTCTTTTTCTTTTTTTGATAAATTTCTTTGATTGCTGTTTGGTTGCTGAGAAAACAGTTGAATAAAAGGGATATTTCTATTAGTAGTTGGTGTTTTCAAAATGTTTGATGTGTTGATGGTATTGTAGAAATTGGTAGCTGTTTAAACAAAATTAACTTGCAATTTAGATAGAAATATCAAATTGGCTTGCAGAAGGACAAACAACTTAAAATTTGTGAAAATTTTAGAAGCATAAATATATGAAGCTTGGTTCCTTTCATGTGTAAAAATATCTGCAGTGCTTTGGGGTGTTTGAATCAGAAACTGCAACCACTTAAAATTATAAGATTGGTGTTGTTGGAAATTTCTATTGTTTACCTTCCTTTCATGTGTAATAATAACTATGTGCAGTTCTTTGGTGTGTTTGAATCTCGGTAAAAAGGTACCCATTTTGCTTGCTAAAACACAAAAAACATAAAAAGCCTTCAATTTAAATGGTTAAAAAAAATATATGGGGATAAATTCTTTAAGCTTTGCTTTGCAGTATGAACTTGCCAGCCACAAAGTTTTACTTTTTTTTTTTTTTTTAACAGGATCAACTAAAGGGCTCCAGATTTGGTTGAAAATTGGTATAGGAACTAACAGGATGTGTTCATTTCTGTTGGAGCTAGCAATATTCATAGAAACTGCCATGTTTTTGAGTTTTCAAACCACTCCAATGTTGTTCTGTTAATTAGATGTATATCTAGAGCTAATTTCACATTTTCTATTTTCAACAGCTCAGAGCTTTCAAGCTCATAATCTTCATGAAACTCAGATATTTGCCAAAATTGAGACAGTGGAGGTAAGCTACGCATTGACATTATAATTGAATTCCTGAAGGAAATGATATGTTCTATTTTGCTGTTATATAATTGCAACTGTAGTGTATAGATGGAACTATCACCATTAACCTTAGCCCCAGAAAAAAAAAAAAAGAGCTATTTCAGGAAAACCACTAATTTTTATGTTAAGAAAATAGAAATATTTAATAGTGAGGGAGTGGACACCAAATAGTGTACTCTAAACATTAGATTCAATTTAGAATTTCATGCCTTGGAAATGTCTGAGAGGGGAACCAATGAACAAAAGCAACCATTTAGAAATGCTTTCACTCCATGGGATATTATGGTGGTCTCTTTACATCAAAATTATTGCTACAAATGTGACAGTTTGATTTGGAGACTTCTGGACGCATACATGGATGGATTTTTGTCTATGATTTTTTTGTCGCTGTTTTGTATCATCTCCTAGGTGGATAGTCATGATTAGCTCATTGTTTGAAAATAATCATTAAGGAATTAATGAAGACGAACAAGATCTCCCTATGTGCCCCCGGTGATGTTCAAACAGTGAGAAAAATATGAGATATATAGCAGTCCGCAATTTGTAAACGGCAGAAACTTAAATGAGCCAATTTCTATATACATGTTTGGCAAATGTTGTAAATGAGTGAAGTGATAAATTAGTATGCTCTTTCTTGATATTGATGCTGCCATGATTGTTATTATTATTCTTATTATTGTTGTGGTTATTATTATATTGTGAGAAGTAGAGAACGTAGCTAAAGGGGTCCACAACAAATTCATTTTCTTACTATTTTTACATACTTTGACTCAGAGTTTGGTAGGTTAATTACAGAGTATCCATTTCTGATTTTGTGTTTTGTTCAATATTTGTGTGGCTATGAAAACATTGGAGATTTATTCATTCTTGTCTAGAACCTGCAAGACTTTACATTTGAAATCTCTAGCTAAAGAAAGCTTTAAAAAGGAAAAGAACAGAAAAAGTATAAAGTTTATCTGGAATTGACATAAAAAAGTTGAGGAATTGATCTTCTTAAGTTATTGATTACCTTCTTCGTATGACTTTGTAGGGTAATAGCCTTATGAGGATCCTTAATATAGCAGCATTTGCTGTGTGAGGATATTCTTGTACAGATTGAAGAAATTGCAAGCCATTTAATCCATTATTGGGGGAGACATATGAAGCTGCTTATCCAGATAACGGCCTCCATTTTATCTCAGAGAAGGTATTTTTAATTGTTGCTTGAAGTTTTAAAATGTTAAGTGCTTCATATATAATATATTTTTTCCAAGTTTGTGATGTTTAAAGTTGTATATGATTCACTACCTTCCTGATCCTATTCTGTGGGAAAAGATCTATAGAAAAATACTGTTATGCTTATCTGTAACTAACATATATAGAAAATGCTATAGTTTTTTATTTTATTTTTTATACTTTAAGAATAGATTTTTGAGTCTCCAAACTACGGGTAAGGTTGACTACCTATTACCTCTCCCAAACCCTTATAAAGCAAGAATTGTGTACTGGGTACAACCTTTGAAAATAGATTTTTACCTGTGTGATGTGTCACTCAATTGTAGTGTATAGATGGAACTATCACCATTAACCTTAGCCCCCCCCAAAAAAAAGCTATTTTAGGAAAACCACTAATTTTTATGTTAAGAAAATAGAAATATTTAATAGTGAGGGAGTGGACACCAAATAGTGTACTCTAAACATTAGATTCAATTTAGAATTTCATGCCTTGGAAATGTCTGAGAGGGGAACCAATGAACAAAAGCAACCATTTAAGAAATGCTTTCACTCCATGGGATATTATGGTGGTCTCTTTACATCAAAATTATTGCTACAAATGTGACAGTTTGATTTGGAGACTTCTGGACGCATACATGGATGGATTTTGTGTATGAATTTTTTGTCGCTGTTTTGTATCATCTCCTAGGTGGATAGTCATGATTAGCTCATTGTTTGAAAATAAAGCATCTATATTCCAATGTGTTTGAAAATAAAGCTCCTAGGTGTATCATCTCCTAGGTGGATAGTCATGATTAGCTCATTGTTTGAAAATAAAGCATCTATATTCCAATGTGTTTGAAAATAAAGCTCCTAGGTGTATCATCTCCTAGGTGGATAGTCATGATTAGCTCATTGTTTGAAAATAAAGCATCTATATTCCAATGTGTTTGAAAATAAAGCTCCTAGGTGTATCATCTCCTAGGTGGATAGTCATGATTAGCTCATTGTTTGAAAATAAAGCATCTATATTCCAATGTGTTTGAAAATAAAGCTCCTAGGTGTATCATCTCCTAGGTGGATAGTCATGATTAGCTCATTGTTTGAAAATAAAGCATCTATATTCCAATGTGTTTGAAAATAAAGCTCCTAGGTGTATCATCTCCTAGGTGGATAGTCATGATTAGCTCATTGTTTGAAAATAAAGCATCTATATTCCAATGTGTTTGAAAATAAAGCTCCTAGGTGTATCATCTCCTAGGTGGATAGTCATGATTAGCTCATTGTTTGAAAATAAAGCATCTATATTCCAATGTGTTTGAAAATAAAGCTCCTAGGTGTATCATCTCCTAGGTGGATAGTCATGATTAGCTCATTGTTTGAAAATAAAGCATCTATATTCCAATGTGTTTGAAAATAAAGCTCCTAGGTGTATCATCTCCTAGGTGGATAGTCATGATTAGCATATTGAGATAAAGCATCTATATTCCAATGTATTTTGACTTTTCCTGCCACTTATCTGTTGTGAAATTATCAACTTAATAGTGCTCGTTTCATACAAATGATATTTCTTGGATATTCATTGTTTGAAGAGTAAAAACATGTTTCCTCGCATATGCAATCTTAAATCTCTCCCCTTCATTTTAATCAGCACACATCAATTGCACATAGCATGCTTCACAAGTTTGATAGTCTGATAGTTGGTCCAAATATATCATTCATCCAAAGAGTGCCTGTAATGCTTCTCCGATACACTTTTCGATCTAACAAAAATACTAACTAATACTAATAATTTTTGCATCCTACTTCCCTAAAGTTTCTCTTACTCCAAATAATATAATTATGTGAAGTTATCCATGGCATCTAAGCTCAGTAGTATCACTTAGCCTGATTATCCTTTCTGGGGAGGCAACAGACCAGACTACTGTGGTCATCCGGGCTTCCAACGCGCAGAATCTGACTCTGTTTTTCGGCTGCAGCCAAATTCCAGTTCTACAACTGGGCAGTTCTGGGCAGTTCAACTGCAGTGTTAATGGGATTGATGACAGAAATTTTTATCTGACTAGAAGCACACTATTCTCCAAAAGTATGATAAGTTGTTTTTCAAGTGTCATAGTTCCAGTCTTTCAATCTGCAGCTCAGGCTCTGGAGGGTAATTCATCTTCTTCAACAAGTCTAAAGGCAGCTCTTGATGGTGGTTTTGGGTTGCAGTGGTCTGCAAATAGTGATCTGTGCAGTCAATGTGTCACATCGGGTGGGCAATGTGGGTATGAATCGGGTTCAAGCTCATTTACTTGCTTTTGCTCAGATAAAGCTTATGCATCCTCATGCTCTGCAACTCAGAATGGTATGTGCAATTTTATTGGTTCTTTTTTGGGACCATAATTCGCCTTCAACAAGCTTTTTCATAGAAGTTTTCTTTCTTAAAGTCTTTAATTTTCTTGAAATTTTCCTTTTTACAGATTGTTTTTAGAAATTCATGTTGTTAATTTGCTAATATTTTTGGTCTTGCACATATTTATAATGGAACTTGTTCAGTAAAATTTGATTAAATCACTGTCTGTATTTTCTTATTATGCCACTTTCTGTTAAAAGCTTAAATCTGAGTGCACAATAAAACATACAATACACCTCACGATATCTCAGAGAGATTTAAAGTTTATTTCTCCATAAAGTTTTTACCAGCCTTAAAATTAAGGTGATGGCTTTCTAATAAATGTATGTTTTGCATCTAAGAAGTAACAAGATAGGGAACTAGATTCTCTATCCCACTCTCCTCTGTCCTCTTGTTCCAAATCACTTCTCCATCACTCCATCTATTTTTCTAACTTTGCAGTATGAACTTGCCAGCCACAAAGTTTTACTTTATGTTTTTTTTTTAACAGGATCAACTAAAGGGCTCCAGATTTGGTTGAAAATTGGTATAGGAACTAACAGGATGTGTTCATTTCTGTTGGAGCTAGCAATATTCATAGAAACTGCCATGTTTTTGAGTTTTCAAACCACTCCAAATCCTTTTGGGCCAAAATTCTGGAAAACACTTAGAAACTCATAATACTTCATGATTTAAAAATCATTTCTTAAAATCAAAGCCCAAAAGTATGCCAATTGTACACAAAATCAACTTAAAATGGAAGAACATGGTGTAATTATGCCATGCGTGTACTTATTTGAATTCATGACCACCAACACATGATCATATGAGCTATTCTTTCCAAAAACATAATGAATTCTTAGATTACAACTATAATACGAACATGCATGTGAAAATTTCATGAAAACAACTTCAAAATTCCATGATATGGCCATGCATGCATGAATTAATTCTCAAATCTACTCTTTAAACTATTTCTTGACTTTAGTCCCTAATTTCCATGAATCCATGCATTAAACAACTTCAATTCAAAATTAAAAGGGTAGATTCCTACCTTAAGTCTTGAATTTCCAAGTGTGGTAGCTCAATCTTCCAAATCCTCTCCAATTTCCTCTAAATTTCAAGCAATTGTCTAGTTGAATTCAATTTCCTTCCTATTCTCTCTCTCCCTTACGTTTTTGTGCAAGAAGGTAGAGGTTGATGGTGTGCCAAACATGTATAAAATAAGAACAAAACAATGGTCTTGAGGAAGCTCACTAAATGGCAAACATGTAAATAATTTAGGCTAAATTAATTAGCATTGTTTATTCTAATTTAATCATTCCGAACTGAATTTTTATTAAACCTACCATAAAATTCTATAAATCCTAATTAGCATATAACACAAGTCAATTTCTGAATTGGCTGCCGATAAGGCTTTCAATTCGCAATCGAAATTAAAACGTGAATAGATCTTTCTATATCAAACAGATAAGAATGCATTTAAAGCGACACTCTCACATAATTAATTTAGAATTTCATCTTAATCATTTACTTACTATGCTTAATCATGAATTAGCGTTAACCATGAGTCGGAGTTGCCAGTATTAGCTATCACTGAAGATGATGAGGATATTGATGTAGAACCACACCGAGGCAAATTAGGGATTAAGTTATTATTTTCTCAACTGTGTAGCTTAGTGTGTGTTCATTCTGTAACTGTAAGGTTGGCATCCGAGGACGCTCTAGCTGCTTATAGCCCAGTGCTCTGTGAGTAACAATGTTGTAAAGATATGTTCAATTGAGATTATTTTCTGAACAAATGACTGTACTGCTTTATGAAATGACACTGTTTACTGAATGAATGTTTGTCCTATTTGTGAATTGTATTCGTGGCATCCATAGCAATTTACTGCTACTGAACTATTACTGCTACTATTACAGAGATCTCTGTTGGTTCCCATGTTTGGAACCACTACTGCTTACTGATATGATGGCCATCATTGATTGTTCGGTCTGTTAAGACCTACTGTACTATTTTGCTATTGGATGTACCACATATGACTATTATAGTTTCTGAATGACTGTTATGGCATGAATTATGAGCCACAAACTAAATGACTGATATACTGATAAATGACTGTTTTCAATACTGAAAGGACATCCATTCTTAACCTCTTTACGCATATGTTATTCACTGGGCTTTAGCTTACTGTTTATATATATATATATATATAGGTGTTCAGGTACCGGATCGGAGCTAGGAGCGTTGGGTTTAAACTCCCTTCTTGTCAAGCCAACCACTGTGCCTTACTGCGAGGTTCCGAGTCCTTCAAGCTAGGGCTTTCTAGGGTGTTTTAGATTCATCCTTTCTGTCTCTATTTTTGTATAGACTGTATAGACCTGTACTGTACTGTTAAGGTAGGGACTTGGTCCCTAACCCGAATGTTTGTATATGTATGTATAGTACTGTTTTGTTCTGCATGTAAATATGTTTTAAAAAAAAAAGTCTTGTGCATACAGACTGTCACAGCTCATTGGACATCTTTTAATTACTGTTTTGGCTTCTGCCAGCCCCTATGCTCTGTATTACTGTTTTACTGTTAAGCAGGCCTTCAGTAATCTCAGATTACTAGCCGGTTACGGTACTAATCCCATAGGGGCGGGTTTGGGTCGTGACATAGAAGTACCTTAGTTTGGATATTGGTATTAGTAACAACAGTGACAATTGGTATCAAACATATGAGTTTGCTCTTTCATTGCTATATAATACTGTTATTATCAATTTTGCTCATTATTAATATGAGCTTGAACTATATTTATCTATCTACCCATTAGTAACTTTGAAATGGATGATTATGTGAGATATCATGAGACTTGCATCTTTAAACATCATCGCGTATTGGTATCATCACTCATTGTTTTTCTCCATTGCACAGATTTGTAATTGCTCATTGATTTCTTACTTAATAGTCTAAATACTCCTACATAATATTTATACATTTTTAATTAACTCTTTCTTTATTATTATTAACACACACAAAAAAAATATTTTTATGTGATTTTTTATTATAAATTCTCTCTCTCACCCACTCGTCATCCCATTCTCTCTCTCACTCTCTATCTGTGACACCCTAAGTATTTAATTAATACCATAATCAATCATGATAATAATAATAATAATAATAATAATAATAAATAATGCAACAACCTTATTTTATATAATCGTAGACCATAGGTTGTCCACGTGGAGGTTAGGGAGAGCTAATCAAAAGATGGCAATTTGATGAAGGCACCACGTGGAATGGATGGGTGACGCACCCGTAATTAGCTTAAGTATAAATAGCGAAGTGAACATTAGCAATCGAAACAAAAACAAAGAAAATGAAGAAAGTTAGTAAGCAAAGATAAGGGAAACAGAAACCGGGAAGGAAGAAAAAAATGGGGGATTCGATATTAAGGTGAGTTATATTATACTTTGAGTTACCATAATATATTTTACGTATGTTTTGAGTTACCATAATTTATTTTATGTAATTATATTTTAATTATGTTATTTATTTTAGGAACCTTATTTTATATAATAAAAAAAATCCATGGATATAACTGTTTATTAAAATGTGTTTTGAGTAATTATTTTATAAGTATCACCACGGAGGTCTCATGCCTTGGGGGACTTAAATAACCATTGGCTCCTATTTGGCCACTTTGTGGTCCTCTGTTTGTCGTGGATTCATTGACTCCTGTCCTGATTGTCACTCCAGTGACCCCTGTTCTGTTATGTTCTGCACTGTGGTTATAGTTATTTACGTAACTTTTATTTCAGTTTCTGTCACTTAAATAATTTATATATGCAACTTAAATTATGTTAATGTTTTAGCTTACATAACTATCCATGGCTATTTTTGTACCTCTATACTCACAGCATAATATTTATCTCTCTGTCATGTGCTTATAACTGTTATCCCTTTCAGGTGACGAGACTTAACAAGATCAAGATGGGAGATAAACCACAATGTTTTCTTTTTTTTTTGTACTATCTGTATTTCTAATTGGACACTTGAAATAAAATAAAAGCCCAAATGACTATGTTTGTTTCCTTTAAATAAATATTTGGTACCCAATTATTTTAATTTATTTAATTTATCTGCTTGCGCTACGACTACAAAATTTTTAGAATTATTTTATTTTTATCTTGTTGTAACACCGAGCATTTGGATACTGGGTTTGGGTCGTGACAAAAGTGGTATCAAAACTTTACAAAAAATAAAACAAAACAAAACAAAACCCTAAGTGTCTGTTAATAAAAATATATATATTATCATAAAATAAAAATAAATAAATACTATATTTTGTCCAACATCATAATTGTTTAATTATATATAGATATATATTGTCATAATATAAAATAAATAAATAAAATATTGTGTCCAACATGATTTAAATAAATATTGGATAGGTTAAGTTTTCCTGTATTGTAGGACATGGCACACCAGGAAGAATTGATTTGGTTCAAGCCCCAGGGAGCGCATCTAGCCCCTAACTTATTGGAAGGATGGGGGACTCAGAAAGCACTATCGGATAGACCCACCCCAACCTTGACCGACTCATGGAGAGGCCAGTATATTTGCAGGCTGACCCTAACGAGGCCTACCTGTTTTGGAGAGTTAGCCGGGCTAGCACCTGAGAGAGATATATTGAGCCGACGCACGTCGTCGGATTGGTACATCTGCATTTCTTGGTTGTTCCCTTACCCCCAGAGTTTGCAGAGAGGAAAGGGCATATATACCCTAGTAGCCACATTCGCACTACTACACCTCCTCCATAGCACATTGTCCAGACCCCAACTGTGTACTACACTGACAGTACCGCATACTTAGAGATGCATGTACAGCTCACTGGGTGGCAGTTTTGGGGATATGACCACGATGTACCAGTCTACATGGTCCAAGTAATTTGGCGCTGTTTTGGGATTGAGCTCAGTGGATGGGAGTTTGAGTCCCTCGTGCAGTAGAAGTTCCCATGGCTGTTCCACGGCCCAGTCTTCCAAAGCTAGTTTTCGTGGGGGCTCAGTGACCTATTCTAGGAGCATGACCAAGAGATGTTGTTGATCTTTTTTTTTTTTTTTTTTGAGCTGACAATGACTAGTCTAATCCTTATATTTTTGAATCAGTAGGATTAGACATTAACTCTTGACGACTGGACTAACGTCTTATGTATAGTAACAATGATGTATATATGATGTTTTATGTGCTATTAATATTAATGTGATAGTAAAACTAATAAAACTAATACGTTATATATGACGTTGTATCAAAGTTGTATCAATGTAATGTCACGCTTATATCATTTTACCTTGTAGTAATGGCTAATGATGGAAATGGAATCGGATCATCAGTCAGTGGTACTAATCCAATGGAGTAAATCATGGAAAAAACAGTTACTAGTTTTCTGCGAGCCCTACAAACCAACATTAATAGCGGATTGCCTGAACGACGAGAAGAACCAACTACAATAAAACAGTTCCAGGACTTGAAACCTATCATATTCACTGGCAGTACAAACCCACTGGTGGCAGAAGCTTGGGTCAGAGATATAGAGAAAACTTTTCGCGTACTACCTTGCACAGAAAGGCAGAAGGAGACTTTTGCCACATTCACCTTCAAAGACGATGCACAAGAATGGTGGCTTCTTACTCTGGAGAAATAAGATATTGTGACTTGGGCCAGATTCTTGGAGGTATTCTATGAAAAATACTTTTCAGATTCGCTGCAGAAACAAAAGGCATCAGAATTCATACATCTAAGGCAATGAACCATAACAGTGGCTGAATACAAGAGCAAGTTCACGCAACTAGCTCGATTTGCAACACACGTCATCCCCACCGAAGCTCGAAAAGCCAGGAAATTTGAAGCAGGATTGGATGTTGAAATCAAGGATAGACTGGAGGTTTTGAAGCTACCAGCCTATGTGGTGGTGGTAGATCGAGCATACATTGCGAAAAAAATGGATTAAAGCCTTGCGCTCTAGGGAACCAAGCCAGAGGAAGCAATTTTGGGAAAGGGATAATAGAAGACTCGGCGTCACGCCTCCCAAGAAGGTAAATATGGGCACAACCAGTTCAAGCAATCAAGGTCCTACAAATCCCAGAGGTGGCACCATTCTAGCTTGCTCTAGCTGTGGAAGGACTCATTGGGGACAATGTCGTCGAGATACGGGAGCATGCTTTAGATGTGGCCAAGTTAGCCACTTGCTGAGAGATTGTCCAAAGCTTACCAATCCTATAGCCAGCCCCTCTGAACCAGTCCGAAAACCCGCGATACCTGGAGAAGTGAGGAAGGACCAAAAACGCCAAGGAAAAGCTTTTGCCCTGGTGCTTGAAAATCTAGAAGTTACTGACAATGTTGTGTCAGGTACACTTTATGTTTGTGGTCACTTAGCCTATGTTCTCTTTGACTCTAGTTCAACTCATTTTTTTTGTTACACCACACTTTGCTACCAAGTTGGCATCAACGCCCGAACCCTTAGGATACATACTATCTGTGTCTTTTCCTTCTGAAAATCCTGCCCTTAGTGCTGATGTGTGCAAATCTTGTACTGTATCCTTAAAAGGTGAAACCTTACATCTAGACTTGATTCCCCTCTGCATTAGTACCTTTGATGTGATCTTAGGAATGGATTGGTTAGCTGCCAACTATGCCTTTATTGATTGTGAAGCCAAAAAGGTCTTCCTCCGGTCGCCAAACCAACTCGAACTTGTCTTTGATGGAACTAGAGTTTTTCGCCCTCCATGTGTTATATCCTTCATGACAACCCAACGGCTTCTAAGAAAGGGTTGTTGTAGTTGTATCTGTTATGTGATCGATACGCAACAAGAAGCTCCCATACTTGATACAATCTCTGTGGTTCGAGAATCCTCGAATGTATTTCCTAAAGACCTGCCTGGTACCCCAGTTGACCGAGAAATTGAATTCACCATTGAAACCCAACTTGGTACACAACCAATCTCAAAGGCCCCTTACTGCATGTCCATGACAGAATTGAAAGAACTAAAGACCCAACTCCAAGAACTACTAGACAAAGGCTTCATCAGACCATGTACCTTACCATGGAGAGCTCCAGTACTATTCGTAAAGAAAAAGGATGGCACGATGAGGTTATGCATCGATTATTGGGAGCTAAACAAAGTCACCATCAAAAATTGGTACCCTCTGCCACGAATTGACGACTTGTTCGATCAACTGCAAGGCGCCTAACTATTCTCAAAAATTGACTTGCATTCTGGTTACCATCAACTAAAAGTCAAAACAAAAAGTATCGAAAAGACTGCCATCAGAACTCGTTACGGGCACTACAAGTTTCTCGTCATGCCATTTGGTGTCACCAATGCTCCAGCGACCTTCATGGATCTCATGAATAGAATATTCAAATCTTATCTTGACGAATTCATCATTGTCTTCATTGACGACATTCTCATATACTCCAAATCGCTAGAAGATCATGAACACCACTTGCGAAGAGTTTTACAGACACTACGTGATCACAAACTCTATGCCAAGTTGAAGAAATACGAATTTTGGATCACCAGTGTACACTTTCTCAATCACGTCATCAAAAAAGACGGCATCTCAGTTGATCCCCAAAAGGTTGTAGCAATCATGGATTGGCCACGACCTACTAACGTGTCTGAGATTCGAAGCTTCTTGGGCCTAGTCGGCTACTACCGACGCTTCGTGCAAGATTTCTCGAAGATAGCTTCACCTTTGACCCAGCTAACTCAGAAAAACACACCCTTTGAATGGACGGACAAGCAGGAACGTTGTTTCCAAGAATTGAAGAGCAGACTCGTGACGGCTCCTATACTAGCACTCCCCGTGGAAACAGAAGGGTTCGTAATCTATAATGATGCCTCATAAAATGGTTTGGGTTGCGTTCTTATGCAAAATAGGAAGGTCATTGCATATGCCTCATGTCAACTTAAGACTCACGAGAAGAACTATCCAACCCACGATCTGGAATTAGCAGTAGTAATCTTTGCCCTCAAAATCTGTCATCATTATCTCTACAGAGTAACGTGTAAAATTTATACAAATCACAACAGTCTCAAATATCTGTTTACACAGAAGGAACTAAATATGAGGCAACGACAATGGCTAAAATTCATGAAGGACTACGATGTGGAGATCCATCACCATCCAAGCAAAACTAACGTGGTGGTAGACGCATTGAGTCGAAAGACGATCAAAAGTTTGGCATTTACCTTCGTTCCCCTCAAGATCAATAGGCTGCTCACCAACATAATCGTGGAACCCGAGTTGATTGAAGAAATCAGAATCTGCCAATGTGAAGACAAACTTTTGAAGAAAAAGTACGAGGAGCAAAGAAGCACGCCCGATCCTGACTTTGTGATGAGCAATGGGATGCCAAAATTTCAGAATCGAATTTGTATACCCAACCTTCCAGAACTCAAGAAGAAGATATTAGTAAAAGCTCATAGCTCAACGTTTGCGATCCACCCTGGCAATACAAAAATGTATCATGATCTGAATGAACACTTCTGGTAGACCGGAATGAAGAAAGACATAGCAAGCTACGTCTCCAAATGCCTACATTATCAACAGGTTAAAGCAGAACACTAGAGACCTGCAGGAATGTTGCAACCAGTCTCTATTCCTGAATGGAAATGGAAGCACATTACTATGGACTTCGTGGTCGGGCTACCGCAATCAGTCTTGACGAATGATGCAATATTGGTTATCATAGATCAATTGACGAAGTCAGCGCATTTTCTACCAATCAGAATCATGTACTCCCTTTCTAAGTTCGCCACTATATACATTAAGAAAATCATTCATCTACACGGCACCCCAGTTTCAATCGTATCAGATAGAGACCCCCACTTTGTGTCTCACTTCTGGAACAAATTGCAAGAAGCTTTGGGAACCACTCTGAAGTTTAGTATGGCTTATCACCCGCAAACTGATGGGCAATCTGAAAAGACGATCCAGACTTTGGAAGATATGTTACATGTGTGTATGCTAGACCTTAAAGGTAATTGGGATGATCACCTCCCTTTGGTGGAGTTCGCCTATAATAATAGCTACTATGAAAGCATTGGAATGGCACTATATGAAGCACTGTATGGAAGATGATGTCGATCACCTCTGTGTTGGACGGAAGTCGGAGAGAGAAAATTGTTAGGCCCCGAAATTGTGCAAATTACAAGTGATAAAATTCAACTCATCTAACAGTGAATTCGCACTGCCCAAAGCTGCTAGAAAAGCTATGCAGATACAAGAAAACGGGACTTAGAATTTCAAATCGGAGATCATGTGTTTCTAAAGATCTCACCCACAAGATGGGTTATCCGATTTGGAAAACGAGGAAAGTTAAACCCACGTTACATCGGCCCATTCAAGATACTCGAAAGGATTGGTCCTGTGGCATATCGCCTTGCGCTTCCACCCGAACTGTCCAATGTCCATAGTGTGTTTCACATTTCGATACTTCATCGATATCTTAGAGATCCAGAGCATGTTATCGATTATGAGAACTTGGAAGTTCAAGAAGAACTCTCTTGTGAAAAGTAACTTGTACAGATTCTCGATCACCGTGATCAAGTCCTTCGAAACAAGATTATACCTCTTATGAAAGTCTTATAGAGAAACCACCATGTCGAAGAAGCAACATGGGAAACCGAAAGTCAAATGCGGATTAAGTATCCATACTTCTTCGAAAACCAAGGTACGTCAAGTTTGGGGCAAATTTTTTAGGAAGAGGAGAAATGTGACACCCTAAGTATTTAATTAATACCATAATCAATAATAATAATAATAATAACGTAATAACCTTAACTTATGAGCCAAGGTTAAGTTTGGCTAGCACCTAGAACATAGGTTGGCCACATGGAGGTAAAAGGGAGATAATCAGTAGACCATAGGTTGTCCACGTGGAGGTTAGGGGGAGCTAATCAAAATATGGTAATTTGATGAAGGCACCACGTGGAATGGGTAGGTGACGCAACCGTAATTAGCTTGAGTATAAATAGCGAAGTGAACATTAGCAATCGAAACAAAAACAAAGAAAATGAAGAAAGTTAGTAAGCAAAGATAAGAGAAATGGAAACCGGGAAGGAAGAAAAAAATGGGGGATTCGATATTAAGGTGAGTAATATTATACCTTGAGTTACCATAATATATTTTACATATGTTTTGAGTTACCATAATTTATTTTACGTAATTATATTTTAATTATGTTATTTATTTTAGGAACCTTATTTTATATAAATAAGGAAAATCCATGGATATAACTGTTTATTAAAATGTGTTTTGAGTAATTATTTTATAAGAACCACCACGGAAGTCCCATGCCTTGGGGGATTTAAATAACCATTGGCCCCTGTTTGGCCACTTTGTGGTTTTCTGTTTGTCACGGATCCATTGACCCCTGTCTTGATTGTCACTCCAGTGACCCCTATTCTATCTTGTTCTGTACCGTGGTTATAGTTATTTACGTAACTTTTATTTCAGTTTCTGCCACTTAAATAATTTATTTATACAACTTAAATTATGTTAATGTTTTAGTTTAAATAACTACCCATGGCTATTTTTGTACCTCTATACTCACAGTATAATATTTATCACTGTGCCATGTGCTTATATCTGTTGTCCCTTTCAGGTGACGAGACTTTGCAGGATCAAGATGGGGGA